TATACACAATGGAGTATTACTCTGCATTAAAAAATGACAAAATCATAGAATTTACAGGGAAATGGATGGCATTAGAGCAGATTATGCTAAGTGAAGCTAGCCAATCCCTAAAAAACAAATGCCAAATGTCTTCTTTGATATAAGGAAAGTAACTAAGAACAGAGTAGGGACGAAGAACAGGAGAAGAAGATTAACATTTAACAGGGATGAGAGGTGGGAGGGAAAGGGAGAGAGAAGGTAAATTGCACGGTAATGGAAGGAGACCCTCAGGGTTATACAGTGGAGGGGGTAGAGAGAGAGGAGGGGAGGGGAGGGGAGAGGTGGGGAGGGGGGAGGGTGGATGATGGGAAAGGCAGCGGAGCACAACAGACACTAGTATGGCAATTTGTAAATCAATGGATGTGTAACTGATGTGAATCTGCAATCTGTGTATGGGGTGAAGGTGGGAGTTCATAACCCACTAGAATCAAAGTGTGGAATATGATATGTCAAGAAATTTGTAATGTTTTGAACAACCCACAATAAAAAATTAAAAAAAAAAATAAAAATAAAAAAATAAATAAATAAATAAATAAATTTTGTGCCAACCTATGTAGTGTGATAAAAAAAAAAAAAAAAAAAAAAAAAAAAAAAAAAAAATCAAAACTCCCAAAAGACTTAACCAAGTTCACCCAGCAAAGTTCAGCATGCAACCAGGGATCAGAACCCAGATATCCTGTGTCATGACATGATACTCACATCTGGGCCACAGAAGGACGCTGGGGAGTGGAACAGAGAAGCAGGGTTAAGGGAATCCCTGATTCCTGCAGCAAGACAAAACAGATGTCAAAGATTCATCATAAGGAGTCAAGAAGCAACTGAATGCATGATGCTTTGTTGAGAGTAAGATGCTGTGAAAACTTCAGGCACTTATTTTTGATTGTTATTGTTAATATGTTTACTGCCAAACTGGTCTGACAATTCCAACCAGGTTGGTTGTCAGTCTAATGAACATGGCACTCTGACAGCTCCACCACTACCATTTTTAAACATGGTCTTGACATTGGTTCTTTTTATAACAGCTTCATCTGATGATAGCTCTGTCTCCTAAATGGCTTCAAAGATTCTCTAGACAATTTTCAATGTAGAGTCTTTCCCAAGGGTCATCTTATGGGAAGCAAGGGTAACTGAGAAGGGAGAGATCCTGGATGTTTCAATGGATGCAGGAGTCCCAGAGAGAGGGCTGAGTTTCCTTTTGACGGCTCTTGGAGCATTAAGAGACACCTTGCTTATCCCAGAACTATAAAAAAAAAGGCCACAGAGCAAAGCTCTGCAGATACCGAAAGACAGGTTTTATGTGCTCTCTGATCACTTTGCAATTAAATTAGAAATCAATGGGGGGAAAATCAGTTCTTTATGATAAAGACTATTGTGGGAGCACATACTTGTACAATTCCAGAACTCAGCCCCAGAGATTTGGTTGAGTCCTTAGTTGAGTGGTTATTGATGAAAAGATTAACATTTCAACTTATTTGTGTTTGTTGGCAGAAAACTTTCAGCCATGTTATAAGCCCTCCTTGGACTGTAAAAAAAACATTCAGCAATGATCTGATTTTTTTTTAATTGTAATCTACACCAAATGTCTTTATTTTTATTTTTTATAGACATTACTTTTTTATAGCAGTTTTAGGTTCACAGAAAAATTGAGCAAAATCTTTTTAAAATACAAAGTACATTTAAAGTCAATTAAGGCTCAATACTAGACCCAGTGAAAATTACCTGATATACAATTCAATCATGTCTATGTCATTCCCTTCCTCACTCAACAAATGTGTAGGGAGAACACTGCACTGCAAGGTGGAAGACTCACATGTGCCCATAGTGGATAAAAGAGGCCAAATTGCTATTTGCACTACAATAGAATCGTGAGGCTGTGGAATTTGGGCACTGGAGCAGCCACCCCATTACAGGGGCCCAGTTGAAACCTACATGTAAAGAGTGTGTAGTGCCTTCTGACATAAGCTTAATCTGGAGTTATGTAGGTCTGGGCACTCAGGTGCACTGGTGGTGGGGGCTTCCTTCCCGTGGGCAAATCATCAGGCCCTATGAGCACACCCACTGAGCAAACCTTGGCTACTGTAAAGATGTTCTCAGTTCATCAGTTATCAACACTGGGACAATCCTGAATGACACCCCCACACACACCTGGAGACTCCTGTCTAAACCATATCTAAGTCAGCAGAGAGGTGATAAAATGGAAAAGGTTCTGTCTTGATCAGCTTTCTGTTGCTGTTACAAAACACCTGAGACTGAATTCTAAAGGAAAGAAGTTTATCTAACACACATTTTTGGAGGCTAGAAGTCTAAGATCAAGTAACCACTTCTGGAAAAGACCTTATACTGCATCATAGTGTGGCATAAAAGAAGAACAGTGAGTAGGCATGCATAAAAAAGAGAAAACATAATAGGTTACCTCGCTTTGTAACAACTCATTCTCATGATAACTAATCAGGTCTCATTAAAGCAAGAACTCACTCACTCCCTTGAGAATTAACCCAGTCCCAAAGACAGCATTAATCCCTTCAGGAGGGCAGAGACCCATGATCAAATCACTTCTTTTTTTTTGGCTTCTTTTTTATTATTATTAATTTTATTTTAATTTATATATGACAGTAGAATGTATTACAATTCATATTACACATATAGAGCACAATTTTTCATATCACTGGTTGGATACAAAGTATGTTCACACCAATCTGTGTCTTCGTACATGTACTTTGGATAATGCTGACCATCACTTTCCACCATCATTTCTAATCCGGTGCCCCCTCTGTTCCCCTCCCACCCCTCTGCCCTATCTAGAGTTTGTCTATTCCTCCCATATTCCCCCTCCCTAACCCACTATGAACCAGCCTCCTTATATTAGAGAAAACATTCCACATTTGTTTTTTGGGGATTGGCTAACTTCACTTAGCATTATCTCCTCCAACGCCATCCATTACCTGCAAATGCCATGGTTTTATTCTCTTTTATTGCTGAGTAATATTCCATTGTGTGTAAATGCCACATTTTTTAATCCATTCACCTATCAAGTCACTTCTTAATGGTCCTGCCGCCTCTTGATACTGTTACATTGGGGACCACATTTCAACAGTTCAAGATCTTGCTCCCCAGGTGAGGCACAGGGGAAGGTATCTAAAGGAGCTGCTGTTCCCTGCTGGAGATGGTGGACAGTCTAAAGGTCAGTGCCTGGAAGGAGAAAGCATGACACCTGGTGGAGACCAGGAGCCCAACAGCCAGAATCCAGCTCGGACATACCCCAAGTGTCCAGGAGCTGCTGCATTGACCCCATGATGCCCAGCAGGTATATGGCAGGAAGCAATGACAGCCATGGGGATTTGACATAAGCACAAGTGAGGGACCCTCTCAGATTCACCAAAAATACTGGAGGAAACTTTAAGGAAGCCAACATTCTGCAAGAATAGTTGGAGGAAGATCTCTTGGCCTTGGGGTCACTCTTAATAACAGCTGTCCCAACAGATGTGGCAACTGATGGAATGTAGCTTAGGGTAATCATGTTGTTAACATTGGAGTCGGACTCCTCTTGAGATCCCACTGTTCTGTTTATGCCACATCACTACCATAGTTGAGTTATTCAATGGCCCTGAATGTCAATGCCTGTCTGTCCAGGGGTGATCAATCAACCACTTTTGGGGATGTTCTGAGAACCAAGTGAGATACAATATCAAGGACTTAGGACCCAGCATAAAGTGTTCAATAAGTGGCAGCCTGAGGTTTCCATCCTTAGCTAGTGAAATTGTGGTCACTCTGAAAAGTATTAATGGTCAAAGACACATTGCAGGTTGGGAATGAAGGAAACATGCCTGCTCTTGGATGAGGTCAAAATGGTCCTTCACAGCCAGGTCTTGAAGGCTGAATTGAGTTCACCTAAGCAGATGAAGAGGAAAAGATAATTCCAGGAAACGTCCAGCTGGCAGGAATCAGCATGGACCTTCAGGGAGCTCCCATGTGACCAGGTTAGGAGACGTCAGGTAGGAAGGCTTCTAACCATGGATGCAAAATGCAGAAGACAGGACTGAGCCTCTGCCCATATGTGGGGAGAACTATGGGTTTCTTCTTCCAGGTGCTGCTTAAAAACAAGTTGTTTTCCTTTTCAATACAGTCAACTTGTTTAACATGTAGCCTGGACATGGGTTTGAGCTCCATATTGCATAACCTCTCCAAGATTTCTGTCCATTCCCAGATATCTGTAATTTCGGGGTTCCTTGCTCCTAAGGAATTGGCTTCACTCATTGTGTTAGTCAGCATTCCCTCACTATAACACATACCAAAGATAATAAACTTATAAAGAAAAAAGGTTTATTTTGGCTCAGTTTTGGAGGTTCCAGCCATGAGCAAGTGACCTTGTTTTGGACCTGAGATGAACAAGTACTTCACAGTGGGAGCCTGTGGCAGAGTAAAACCGCTTACTTCATAGGCAGAAAGAGAAAAAAAGAAAGAGGAAGAAGAAGAGACTAGGGTCCTACAATCCCCTTTAAACACCCCCGACTACCTCAAGACATTCCACTAAGCCTCTCCTCTTCAAGTTTCCACCCCTTGTCAATAGCACCACTCTGAGGTCCAAGCTTTTAATACACAGGGAGCTTTGGGAAATATTCTAGATCCAAATGATGGCACTTAGTCACTCTTTTTATTACTATTATTGGACAAATATTATTAAATTCCTATTATGTACCAGGCAACATTCTAAGAGTATTAATTAAAGAATAAAAATGTCCTCCCTCATGGTGCTTACAATCTAGGTGGGGATAGGGAGACACACACACATAAAACACACTGAATATATAAAGTATATATTTAATATCATATGGAAATATATAAAAATATATTGAATGTCATATGGTTATATGAAGAAAAAACAGTGCAAATAGTGAGGGTAGATGCACAGAAAATGAAGCCCAAACACCTTCCTCCTCACCATTCCACCTCATCACCTTGTCACTTCTCCTATGCAAAGCCTGTGTTCTCTACCCTCCTTTGCCTGCTTTATCCTCCTTTGGTGATATGATCCTATGTGAACATGTTCCATACCTACTGGAATATTGAGCTCAGTTACTCAGGGACCATGAATGTCTCACAAGGATTCCAATAAAACACCTTCTCCATATTTAATAACGTGGGCACTTAAATTATTTATAACACTGAAGGGTTTGCTGAGAGCAAACATCACATTATTGTTGATGTTTGAGCTGAAAAGATTACTAAATGATTCCTGTTTTCCAGTATGATTGTTAAAACCTGATAAGTCAGCTTATTTTTGTTAACAAAATTGCTGGATTCCTCCAGCTACGTGATATTTAACTGAATTAACAGAGATTGGAAGCAAAAAAAAAAAAAAATTGGACTCAAGAAGTAACTGGGCTCACAACAAGTTTCTATTAACAGAATAATTAAAGTGGGTCTTGATGGTTTTAGGAAGTGTGGCCCCATCTGGGTGTGCAAACAAGGGCTTTGGGGTCATGGGAGAACTAATAATAGTCCACTTGGCCGTACCTTGCCATAGAGCCTTCACACACTGGGTGACTGACAGAGTGTATTGTTCAGCCCTCAGAAAAATATTTTTGTTTTGAAACTTGCTGCACTGTTTTTAGTCTGTGGAGTGATGTTAATAGAAACAGGCTCTTTTCCACCACCTTCATATTTTAAGGTTTCCCAAAATATTTCTTATGGAAAATCCAGGGGAATCAAACAACAAAATAACATTAACTTTCTCCTGCCAATGATTATAAAAAGAATAGCCCTTAAATTCTGTTCTCCTTGATTACTTTTCTGGAATAATGCTTGATCAGATATGCTTTGAACCAGTCAGTTCATACAATTTTCTACGAATTTGGAGGATGTTATGAAAAAAAAAAACATTTAAAATATAGATATAAAACCAAAAAGTGAGCAGCATGACTTTTTACTACCACATGGGCAAGGTTTAACAAGACCCCCAGGGACTATTTAATTATCTTGAAGGATGCACCTACATTTGATCTTTTACTTACTATTACTTGAGGTTAGGTACTGTGAAATTAATTGCACAGTATTTTGGAGATCTTGTATAGATGTAGAAAAATAATCCCAACTATTACAGCTTTATTGCCCTACAGGACATTAATTAGTCAGTGCTGTCTCCAACAGCACACTTATGTCAAGATTTTTTTGGGGGAGTGTTGAAATCCTATTCCTCTATTTCCTTTCAATTAAGATTTTGCACTGAGTTTCTTACTAATAGGCAGCTAATCCTTAACATTCATTTTCTCTTTGCAGGAGTCTTGTTTTTAATTTTTAGGAAACTGCACTCGGACAGGAATGACAAATTATAAAGACGCAGCCCACGTGTCAGGCAGAGACAGTGCTAACCTTTACCAGAGCCTGTGTCCATGGAGAGCAATGACAGTTAAGAAATCCCCTCCCCACCCTTTCACTCCTGGAGACAGTGTACTGCAAACCAACCAACCAAAAACCCTTCCCATGCAGCTTGGATAAGACACACTGAGGTCTCCTGTTTCCCTGTGACAAGCTCAGACACAGACACTTGTCTCCGTGGCCAATTTAGACAAAACTCCTGCAGATTTGAATAATCAAATATGAGGTGAGTTTCTTTCTTTCCCTCAATTTGCAACAGCAGCACATTGTGGACAGCCCCTTCTGGAGGTTTCTGCCAGAGGAAGGGAAGGGAGGAGAGGAACTGTCTGGCCATTTCCTGCTCAACTGTCTTATCACTGCCATCTGTCCATCCCTTTCCCACAATGGTTCTCCCTAGCTTAGCCTACTCCTCCCTGTCAAAGAAAATTCCTTTCTGCCAATCTGACCTAGGAAAGTCTTGTAGATCCCACGTCTGAGCTTTGTTCCAGATAGCAGTCGTCTCCCTCCCTTATTGCAGTACTGTGGTCTCTTCCAGTGAAATTGCACAGTATTTTGGAGATCTTGTATAGATGTAGAAAAATAATCCCAATTATTACAGCTTTATTGCCCTACAGGACATTTATTTAGTGAAATTTCTCTTTACCTAAGTCCTGATACATTCCTGTCTGATCCCATTCTGACAATACAGAAAGAGAAAGGACCACCCTGATGCTTCCACCAGAGCCTCCTCCTCCTCTCTGCCTTGAGATTCCCAAGGATCCAGACCTGGGCTCACCTGACTCCCAACCTACTTGCCACGTGCCTGATTTCCTTCAAGGATAATGCAATGCTACTGGTAAAACAGACTTCTATCACTTGTCCTCCATCCATACTCAGTGGCATTCTCTAGGACCTTATTACCCAAAATATGGTTCATGAATCAAAACATCAAGGAAACCCATCAACTTGTCAGAATTCAGAACCCCTCCTGGGCCCTGCTCCAGAGTTCCATGATCAGAATCTGCAATTTAGCAAGATTTGGGGGAGATGCATGTGTGCATTCGAGTGTGAGAAGTGCTGCTATGGAACACAGGAGCAGTGACCCAGGTAAGGGCCTAAAGCCTTGCTCTCTTAGGGCTCTGTATCCAAGGGCAATGTGCCCCAGTGCAAGGTATTCTGGGCTTCTGATGCTTAGAGAGGCAGAGCCAAGTCTGAACACACCTTTTTACTTAAATGCCTTTTTATATGCAAATAAACTTCCCCATTTAAACAGCCATCTCTTTTATAGACACAATTCTTTTTATTTTTAGGAGACATAGTCACTGTGTTGCCCTTAGACAACTTTGGTTATTCTCTGCAAAATTTGTTCCTTGCAAAGAGAATCTTGAACTCCCCAAAGCATCAAAAAGATACCATGCAGCTGCTTCCCAGGTTAAAGTCTTGATGGTTGGATTTACAACATTGTGCTCTGGTTCTTCATATTGTTCCTGAGCTAAGAATGACAGCCAAGATCTGCAGCCCAGACCTGCCAAACTGTAGGTGAGCAATCCTCCTTCATTGGGCTTATTTGCCTTTTTGCTTTCATTTCCTCCTCCCCAGCTTGGCCTGAACAAGGGATTTGTGCCTGTAGGAAGAAGTCGTAGAGAAAAGGATTATCAGTACAGCCCACCCTAGTTGCCCCTGTGTCTCAAAGTGACCAGGGGCCTGGACCCTGAGCAGGATTCTTGGAAGGGGAGCCAGTGGAATGATGGAATGATCAGAATAGGCAGTGTGACTCCATTCCAACTTTGCCAGTGGCTGATTGTGTGATGTCATTAAAGTCCTTTAACCTCTGGCCTTCGATTGACTTGTCTAAAAGATATTCTAGTGAGATGGTTCAAAATTTGAGTGTGCGTCAGTCTCCTGAGGGGGACATATTAAAACCCACATGGATGGACCCAATCCAGAGTTTCACATTCAGTAGATCTGAGCCAAAGTCTGAGAATGTGCATTTCCAAGTTTACAGGTAATGCTGAAGGTCAGGGGAACTCACTTTGAGGACTCTGTTCTCAGCCAGTCTGTTCATGGAACCCCTAGGGGATTCCATGGAACTTCCCGGTAGGTTACCATTTGAACAGGACAATTGTTTAGCTGTCAACATGGAGAACTGAACAGCAGCCCCTGCATCCCTTGAGAATAGGGAAAGGCAAATTCTTAGCCCCCACGCCAGATTCCCTGGACCAGAACCTGGATACAGGTACAGAATTGTGCTCTAACAAGTACTGGGGATAATTCCAGTGCATTTCTCACTGGAGAACCCCTGGGTTGGGAGAGGAACAATAGTTTCCTCACACCAAACTAGAACCAAATCCTCTCCTGGGAATACTCAATGTGAACTTTGACCCCAAAGAGTCACTTCCCCCATGTCCCTTCCTCAGACCACGTGAGCCTGAAACACAGTTTAAGTAATCTTCTAATAAAACCAATTCAGCCCTACTGCTTCATGGAGACTCCTGTTTGGGTGAAAAGAAGAACCCTGTCTTTAGAAATGCCTTTTCAGGGACTCAAATATTCAGAATCTTTGGACCTGAAGCTACATCACCTGGATAGGAAGAGACAGCTGGGTGATGGTGGATTAGAAGGACTCAGAGAGGTTGTGTGTGGACAGCATTTCTCACCTCTTTGGTGCATCAAGCTGGATCTATCAGATATTTATTATAAGTTGTTACCTAGAGAAAGATGGTTCATCAATTTGCTGTTATTTATTAACTGAAACAAAAAGACTCTACCATGACTAAAAGGCCACTTGTCAGATCCATGCAGACAGAGGCCTATGTACTCTGTAGAGCTCCCCAGGGAGTTCCACTGTCAGTCTAAGGTGGGAACAAGGAAACCTATCAGCAGCCCTGGGTTAAGAGTTTCACTGGATGACTCTGCCCTTGACTTCATCTCTTTAAGCCTCAGCATTCTTGTCTATTCTCCCCACCAGCATGGGGACAGGCATCCTCCCTTCCTATTTAATATCAGCTGCCCAGTCCTGAGAAATGCTGGGCATGTTGTAGGTGCTCAGTTTCTTGAATAAATTGGATGGCTTGGGACAACAATCAGATGTGACTCACAGGGTATTTTAAAAGACTAAATGGGAAAAGGCATGAAAATTGATGACCATGCTTTCTGGCAAACAGTTGGCACTTATTAGTGTTAGCTATTGTTATTATTCTACATTATCATGTATGAGGTTGTCTCATATTGAATCCCACTGATATCTGTGGATATATCAGGGGTCAATGATAAATCCAGCTTGTACAAATCTGAAAAACTCACTCAAAGAAAAATGCATCCAGATTTATATTTCCATAAAACATAACAGGAACTGCTATCAGATGGACAGTAACTCAATGAAAGAAGGCAGAGGAAATGGAATCCTTGACCACCCCCTGGTGGCCCCGGTGAGGTAAGCACACATGGAAACCCTCAAATCTGGGCCATATACCCATCTGTCCTGCATGGCACATGCTACCTGAAAGGTGTCTGAGTCGTGTCCATAGATGAAAGCCCTTCTTCTGGGGTCACTGGCTGCTATCCAGAGAATGGGGCTTCCAGATAGTACTGTGCCAATAGGATGTTGCACATGAAAAATGGATTTCCAACCTAAAGGAGAGGTTTAGGAAAGCTACCAAAGTGTCATGGAGTCACCTGCCCATTTCTTGGCACACACCTGACAGATGCCTTTCTGTGGGTGAACATCTCTATCCTTTGCATAACACCAGGTTCCTGTCATGCCACTTTTAAATCCATGACAATGGATTTAAAATGATTAAGCAGATCATCCCAGTGCAGCTTCCAGAGGTATTATTAGGGTGTTATTGGTATTATTAGGGTATTATTAATAGGGTATTATTGATCTCCACTCCTCTGTTGGACAAAGCAATTTAAAAAAAATTCAGAACAAATGAGTTTATCATTTAGCACCAGATAGTTATTTACCCAAATATATGCTTGGGTAGAGTTTGAATGGGGCAGGGGTTGGGGAATGGGAATAGGAAAACATGTCTGCTCCAGTCCCATTCAGAAGCAATCTTATCCATATCTCTGCCATGCTCAAACCAACTGGTAGGAAGAAAACAGGTTTCTGAAACTAGATGGATGTGCATTTGGTTGTCGTCTTTACCACAATGTTCTAGCTGTGTGACACTGGACAAGCTGATGGCTGTCCCAGCCATGGCATTTTTCACCTATGAGAGAACCATAATGGCTAATCCTGTGTAGGATATGCATGGAATGAATGTATGTGTCCTGCCAAAATTCACATGTAGAAACCTAATCCCCAAGTTGATGGTATAAGAGGTGAGGTCATTAATACATAGTTAGAGCATGAAAGTGGAGCCCTCATGCATGGGATTTGTGGCATTATAAAAGAGACTCCAGAGAGCTCTGGTTCTCTTTTTCCATAATGTGAAGGTACAGGGAAAAGACAACATCCATAGGCTAGGAAGAAGGCCCTCACCAGACAGGGATTTTGCCAGTGCTTTGACATTGGAATTCCTAACCCCTAGAACTATGAAAGATAAACGTTTGTTAAAGTCATCCAATCTATGATAACTGGTCATAGCAGCTAAAATGGACTAAGACAGAAATTAGCACTGAAAAGTGGAAGTGCTGTGAAAAATACCCAAAAATGTGGAAATGACTTTGGAATTTAGTAATGGGAAGATGTTAAAGAGTTTTGAAGGTGCATGTTAGAAGCAGCCAAGATTTAGGAGAGTGAGGAGAGTTTTAAAAGTGATTCTAGTGAAAACTCAGAAAGAAAAGAGTTGAGTTGCAGAGAAGGCTTGAATCTTCTTAGAGAGCACCTAAGTAACTATGAACAGAGTATTGGAAGAAATGTGAATGATAAGGGGCATTCTGGTGAGGTCTCAGACAGAAATGAGGATTGTGTTTTGGGAAACTGGAAAAAAGACAACCGTGGTATAAGGTGGCAAAGAATTTGGTTGAGTGGTGTTCATGTTCTAGTGTTTTGTGGAAGGTAGAATTTGAGTGATGAAATCAGATATTTAGCTGATGAAATTTCTAAGCAAAGTGTTGAAAGAGTGACATGGTTCCTCTTGATTGTTTATCACAAATTCAAGAAAGAAGAAATGACTTCAGGATTAAGCAAAAAAAGAAACTAGGCTCTCAAGATTTGGAAAATTCTCAGGCTATCCATATTGCAAAAAAAAAAAAAAAAATGAGAAAGTATAACCAGAAAAGAATACTAAGAGGGTGGCCAAGTGACTCTTTGATGGAGAGATAGTATGGATGGGAGCTGCAGACTTAATCAAATACCCCAGCAAGAAACCTCCTTTGGAGAAAGAGATAAGAAGGAAAGAAGGAAGGTCACCTGACTTAAAGATCATAGAGCTAATTGGCTCTGAAAATGTTTCAATATTGGGGAAGAATTGCCTCAAAGGAGATTCAGAGATCAAGGCTGCTTCCTCAGTTTCTAAGGGGAGGTGCCTTGACTCACCTTCAATAAGCCAGATGACCTTTGCCCTGGGGACAGAAAAAGCATAGCCCCAATGGTTCTGGGAGGTAAAACATCAAGCAAAAAGAATTATTCTCTGAGCTTAAGATCTCATAAAATCTGCTTTGTTAAGTATTAGACATTCTAAGAACCATTACCTCTATTTTTCTTTCCTATTTTTCCCTTTTAGAGTGGAGATGTCTATCCTACGCCTGTCCCACGTTGTATTTTGAAAGCACAAAACTAGTTTAGTCTGACAGGTTTATAAGTGAAGAGGGGTTTTGCCTCAAGACAAATCATGCCATGAGCCTCATCCATATCTGATTTAGATATTTGGATTAGACTCCAGAACTCCATCTATAGACACTAGAACTGATATTGGAATGAGTTAAGACTTTGGAGGCTATTAGAGTGGAATTAATGCATTTTTGTACACAGGAACATGAATTTGGGAAGGAAAAGGGGCAGAGGTGGAATGATATGAATTGAATGTTTGGGTCTCTTTAAACTCATATATTTAAACCCTATCCCCCAGTGTGATAGTATTAGGAGGTCTGCCTTTAGGAGCTGCTTAGATCATAAAAATGGAGCCCTTATGAATGGGATTAATTTTGTAATATAATATAATATTATATCACACAAAAGAGTCCACAGAGAGCTCCCTGCCCTTCCATCATGTGATAACATAGTAAGAAGGTGGCAATCTGAAAACCAGGAAGTGGCCCCCACCAGAGAGAGGAATCAGCCAGCACTTTGACCCTGGACTTCCCAACCTCCAGAACCATGAGAAGTAAATGTTCATTGTTTAAGCCAGCTAGCCTATAGTAATTTATTATAGCAGCCTGAACTGACTGAGAGAGCATCTTAGTAAGGTTTAAATGACACAATGAGTGTGAAATTCTTAGGTTTTGATCAATAAATTGAAGAAAATTTTTAGGCCCAAACCTTCACCATGTCAAGCCTAGGATCTGATTTCCTTAACAAGACTCCTAAAGCACAAGAAGCAAAATCAAAATCAATTAATGGTATGGATTCAAATTAAAAAGCTTCTTCTCCCCAAAGGAAACAATTAATAACTTGAGGAGAGACCCTCAGATTGGAAGAAAATCTTTACCACATGCACCTCCAATAAAGCCTTAATCTCTAGGATATACAAAGAACTCAAAAAAACTTAACACCAAAAAACAAATAACCCAATCAATAAATGGGCTAAGGAACTGAACAGACACTTCACAGAACAAGAAATACAATTGATCAACAAATATATGAAAAATTGTTCAACATCTCTAGCAATTAGAGAAATGCAAATCAAAACTACTCTAAGATTTCATCTCACTTTTGTCAGAATGGTAATCATCAAGAATACAGGCAACAAAAAATGTTGGTGAGGATGTGGTGAAAAAGGTACACTCATACATTGCTGGTGGAGTCCCACCAAATTGGTGCAACCACTATGGAAAGCAGGATGGAGATTCCTCAGAAAACTGGTAATGGAACCACCATTTGACCCAGTTATCCCACTCCTTGGTTTATACCCAAAGGACTTAAAATCAGCATACTATAGTGACACAACCACATCAATATTTATAGCAGCTCAATTTACAATAGCTAGGCCATGGAACCAACTGAGGTGTTCCTCAGTAGATAAATGGATAAAGAAAATGTGGTATATATACTCAATGGAATATTACTCAGCTTTAAAGAAAAGTGAAATTATGGCATTTTCCAGTAAATGGTTGGAGTTAGAGAATATCATGCTAAGCGAAATAAGCCAATCCCACAAAACCAAAGACCCAATGTTTTCTCTAATATGCAGATGCTAATTCATAATAAGGTTGGGGGGCACTAGAGTTGAATAGTCTTACCTTAGATTAGGTAGAGGGAAGTGATGGGAGGGGAGGGGAGGGGTGTGGGGATAGGAAAGATAGTAGAATGAAACAGACATTATTACTGTATGTATATATGTGACTGCATGACCAATATGATTCTGCAACATGTGCACTCAAAAAAATGAGAAATTATATCCCACCTATGAGTGACATATCAAAGTGTATAAATGCATTCTAAACAAATTTTAAAAAAATTAAAAAGAATTATGAGTACTGATGAAGTTCTGAACTGGGAGAAGAAAGAGGGTCATGGTGCCTTGCTCTTTCAGCTTTAAAGAAGCAGGGGCTTTCTATGCCAGAGAACACGCTAAGCCATATGAGAAGACCGTGCTTGTTCAGTACAAGGGAATCCATCCCCACAATCTCCACCTAGAAGTCCTCAGCCCCCTCCTCCACCCTCATGGACTATTTTAATCTCCTCTCTGATTTTTCTATTTCCCTCTTCCCTCTTGCAGTTTATTCCTCTTTCTTTCCATTACCCAGAGTGATCTTTTTATATCCATAAACTAGATCATGTCATTCCTCCAGTTGAAGACATCCATTTCATCCTTCCTATTGGACTTATGATAAAATCCAAACTCTTCTCCATGGTCTCTAAGGCTGCATGTAATCTGACCTCTGCTGCCTTCAACAGCCTCCTCTCACACCCTCCTATCACACTCACTAAACACACTGAGGTCATCTGGCCCTGGGCTTTGCACTGGCTGTCAGGGATGCCCCTCAACAGTGTCACAAACTGAGCTCCTTCTCACCCTTCTGAGAGCCTGTTTTTGGATAGGTCTTTCTAGAGTACTTGGCCCACTCTCTCACTGGCTGAGACCCCTCAGTCTCTGTCTTTGCTCAACATCTTCTTCCTCAGTGTGAGCAGACCATGGAGACTCAGTCCTCATAAATGCTGTGCTTGAGGAAATTTGACTGCCTGGGGAAGACAGGGGGGATATCAAGGCATCCTTGTTCCTCCCCTAAACCTGACTTCTGGTACTGCTCACCCACCACAGACTCTCCCAGTCCCCAACCCCAACCAAAGCACTCACACTGTCCTGGGACCCAACCTGTGCTGACTTATAAACTGACTCAATCTCAGGTGTCAACAGATGGTCATTGGTGGGTGGGTCTTCCTTTCCAGATAACATCTGAATTTCACAGGAGTTCTTTAGGATCTTGAATTAAAAGCAAATCATAGGGAGCAGGGGAGAATTTCAGGCACTTTCTCCTATGAATGGAGTTTGGCACAGAGGATATCCAGTGCTTTTCAACATAGCTCTATAAATGATTCCCACTTTATGGCCATCAGAGTTCAATTTGCTCAACTGATCAGTCACACATCCCCAGTTGAGACCAGCCCTGAGATTCAGGCCCAGATTCCAGCTCTGTCCTTGACCTACTTTGTTCCCTAGGAATTGCTCCAGGACTCAACTTCCTTCATGTGATCTACAAGAGCCAGATACTGAATTCTGGTGCTTGAAAATCCAGACTGAAAAAATAACGAACCTTTTGCTACAAAAATTGTTAAGTTCCCAAGAGATGATGATCATCCCTGTTGACATTTCACAAAAAGTGACAAGACATCAAAGATGTGCCCACCCTAGGAACTGGGTTCTCATTTTATCTTTCATTTTGTTTATTTATTTATGTCTTGGCCTAGGACATTCCATGAAGTCTGGAGTGATGACATTCATGCTGAAAGGATGATATTAGTTTGGAATTCGTGCTGGCAGGGTAAATAGAAAACACTTCATTATTTGATTATCTAGCAAGAAATTAATGGCTATCCATAAAATGTCTAATAAAATGATCTGTTTGTTCTAGAAACTGCAGGAACAATCTTTTGTTTGCTTTCCCCACCCTGTGCTTGTTCTCCTCAGTGTGAGATGATTAATTGGCTAAACGTCATTGTAAAACCACCAGCCTCCTCCTTTTACACCATGAAAGCCCTGCAGAACCAAAATAATGAACATACCATGATGAACAGTTGCCTTGAGGAAAAGTGAAATTGTTTTCTGTGTATTGCATTGATTCCTCCTGTTTTCCTTTTGGTTGGTAGCCTAGGAGTCCTCCAAATGTTGCTTGAAGAACTGAGGATAGAGCCATGGTAAAGACCTTCCGCTTGGTGGAAGAGATATCTCCCACCATCTTCTTCCTAAGATGGTGGGATGAGATGAACATCATTACCCTAGGTACATGTATGACTGTACATGTGGTGCAATTCTACATCATGTACAAACAGAGAAATGAAAAGTTGTGTTCCACTTGTGTACAATGAATTGAAATGCATTCTGCTATCATGTATAACTAATTAGAACATTTAAAAAAAAAAGAGTACAAAAAAAAAGAAAGATGAAAAGACCTAAAGTACAACCACATGTGGTAATGTGAGTCCGTTCATAGAGGGAATAGAAGAAGGTCCCCAGAGCTCCCACATACTGGGAGGCTCAAAGCCCTTCCCAGACAATCCACTTCACACCTTTACTTCTTCCCAATCTTCATTCCTTTTCTGGCTCTAATGGAGTTATTTAATACCCAACTTTAATTGAAAAGCTGTTTTCAGTTGATTAGGCATGTATTATTAATTATAATAATTTTATTTTGTTCACTAGATCTAAGATTTCACATATAAATTACAATTTCACATGTAAATTATTGAGATATTTTATACTCTTGTGCCATTTGTTAAATCTTCAAAAGCCAGTGTGTTTCACACACTTACACCATGTCTCAATACTCACTAGCTACACTTCAAGTGCTTAATAGCCACATGACTGGTGGCTACTGAATTGGACACCACAGTTCTAGGTAACAGAAAACCCTCAAAAATCTTTGAAAAAGTAACTATGCAAAAACAATAAGAAAATAGCAAATCACAGACCTACTGTTCATGAACATAGACCCTCAACAAAATATTGGCCAATGAAATCATTCAATACAGGAAAGAACATAATAAGTCAAGTCAAAATCGTCATATTTCAGGAATTCAAGGGTGATTTGATATTAGAAAGTATATATATGTGCAAATATATAAAGACAGATGATATATATATATGTGTGTGTGTGTATAATAGATTATGAAGGGAGAGAACTATACTATTAATGGTTTTGTCTCTGATGATTTGGGGATGAATTGTACTTTTTACATATTAAAAAGCAATATTAGCTCATTAGTTTGAGTGAGCATGAGTGAGGCCCTGGGTTTGATTCTCAGCACCATATAAAAACAAATAAAATAAAATAAACTTTAAATTCCAAAAAGAAAAAAAGCAACAAAACTATTTACATGGCAGGCAACAGGAGGAGAAAAGGATAGCACAAATTCCAAAATTAAAAATAAAAATAAAGAACTAAGAATCAGAGGAAAATAAAATAATTTTTAAAGAATAATTGTTTAACCTTCTATAAAAAAATATTATTCTAGAAATACATATAGTATCTGTATTTTTTTTATCTACAAAAAAAATACTGCTGACCTCAGAAAAAAATGAACTATTGAAACGAACGGGCTACCATGGAAAAATTGAGAATGTTATAAAGATATGAATCTATTCCTTAGTTCCAGATAATTTCTATTAAATCTAATAAGACTTTGGAATTTAGGTAGCTAAATTCTAACACCATTTCAAAGTTTAGATAACTCTAACACCATTTTAAAGTTTTAGACCAATATAGTTGGAGGCATAGATCAGCAGCCGAGCACATATTTGGTACATACAAGTATGGTTCAATCCCCACCACAAAAAAATAAATAAAATTGTAGATAAATAAAAGGAAAAATCTCCATAATTACTTTTATTTAGCATATAGATACTAAATATGAGTATCTGAGAAAAGACAAAAAGAAAACATGAAGTGTTCTTCCTTATGATTATTCATGGAAATATCATAAGTGAAATAGTAATAAACATGATTAGGGAATACATTAAGGAAACAAAAGCCCGCCATGGATGGTCTATTCTAGAAATGCAAGAATCGGCCACATCCTAAAACCAATTGCCATTCACATGACTTTCTGGACGTCTGGCTTCAGTTAGTTCCCTGGAGGCAGAGTCTGAGATGGGGTTTTTGAGGCAGAAAATTAATAGGATGCCCATAGCCCAAGAGTTAATAACAAGAATAAACAAATGGGACTTACTTAAACTAAAAAGTTTTTTCTCAGCAAGAGAAACAATAAGAGAGGTAAATAGAGAGCCTACATCCTGGGAACAAATTTTTACCCCTCACACTTCAGATAGAGCCCTAATATCCAGAATATACAAAGAACTCAAAAAATTAAACAATAAGATAACAAATAACCCAATCAACAAATGGGCCAAGGACCTGAACAGACACTTCACAGAGGAGGACATACAATCAATCAACAAGTACATGAAAAAATGCTCACCATCTCTAGCAGTCAGAGAAATGCAAATCAAAACCACCCTAAGATACCATCTCACTCCAGTAAGATTGGCAGCCATTATGAAGTCAAACAACAATAAGTGTTGGTGAGGATGTGGGGAAAAGGGTACACTTGTACACTGCTGGTGGGACTGCAAATTGGTGAGGCCAATTTGGAAAGCAGTATGGAGATTCCTGGGAAAGCTGGGAATGGATCCACCATTTGACCCAGCTATCACCCTTCTCGGACTATTCCCTAAGGATCTTAAAAGAGCTCACTATAGGGATACTGCCACATCAATGATCATAGCGGCACAATTCACAATAGCTAGACTGTGGAACCAACCTAGATGCCCTTCAATAGATGAATGGATTAAAAAAATGTGGCATCTATACACAATGGAGCATTACACAGCACTAAAAAATGACAAAATCATAGAATTTGCAGGGAAATGGATGGCATTAGAACAGATTATGCTAATCGAAGCTAGCCAATCCTTAAAAAACAAATGCCAAATGTCTTCTTTGATATAAAGAGAGCAACTAAGAACAGAACAGGGAGGAAGAGCATGAGGAAAAGATTAACACTAAACAGAGACGAGTGGGGGGAGAGAAAGGGAGAGAGAAGGGGAAGCATATGGAAATGGTAGGAGACCCTCAATGTTACACAGAATTACATATAAGAGGTTGTGAGAGGAAACGGGGGGGGGGGGGAACAAGGGAGAGAACTGAACAACAGCAGATGAGATAGAGAGGGAAGATGGGAGGGGAGGGGAGGGGGGATAGTAGGGGATAGGAAAGGTAGCAGAATACAACTGTCACTAATATGCCATTATGTAAAAATGTGAGTGTGTAACCGATGTGATTCTGCAATTTGTATTTGGGGTAAAAATGGGAGTTCATAACCCAATTGAGTCAAATGTATGAAAGATGATATATCATGAGCTTTGTAATGTTTTGAACAACCAATAAAAAAAAAATTTAAAAAAAAGTGTCAGGAAGCAGGAATGGCAGGGGAAGAAAGGAGCAAACAGGAAGTTCCCTGGAGTCTGATGTTGTTGACATCACGGGGAGCAGAAGCACAGATTGCCACACACTGTCTGTTTCACTCGCAGGCCGGCGACTGACTTGCTATGACTTTTACAGCAATGAGGATATGTCTGTTCCCACTCCAAGAGATCTCTAGGTAGGCCAAAAGGCCCCCATGGGTTGAGGGCTGTTTCTGGAGTAAGTAGCTTTGAGCCATCTGCAGCTCCGATTACAGCAGCTGGTAAATGAGGGCTCCCACCTTAAAAAGGGACCTGAGGTGGGAACTACAACAGCAGATTCTACTAAGTCAAGAAAGAGATAGATGCTTGATTAAATTTTAAATTAATACATAATTTATTAAAGATGCAAAACTTTAAAAACCCTTTTTTCCTCCTTAAACTTTAATTTTGACTTATCAATTATTATTCAGTTAATAGTTTTTGTAAAATTTGTGTACATTCACACTAGACTTTCATTTCCTCTTTGGTTAATGTTTAGGTAGCTTCAGATGAACTGCCAAATTTCTTTCAACAGCAAATCCTTTTATAAGTTTGTTTCAATGATGTATTTCTGTGAAACAAACTACCCCAAAACTTGCCATAATAGACCCCTGTTATCCATGGGGGACACATTCCAAGATCCCCAGTGGATGCCTGAAACTAGAGACAGTACCAAACTCTATATATACTGGGGGGTTTTCTACATATAAATACCTGTGATGAGGTATTTAGAAGTAATTAACAACAACTAATAATAAAATAGAACAATTATAACCATATGCTATAATAAAAGTTATCTAAAACTTCTGAATCATTTCTGGAATTTTCCATTTAATATTTTCAGACCACAGTTGACCACAAATAACTGAAACCATGGAATGCAAAACCTCAGATAAGGGGAGACTGCGGTAATGAATAGTTATTTCTACAATTCTGTGGGTTGGCCAGCTGAGAGTTCTATTGCTGGTCTCCTCTGGGCTTATTTGTACAGTTGTATTGTTGACATCTTGACTGGGCTGGAGGGTACAAGATGGCCCCACTCACAAGTCTGGCAGGTAGTACTGGTTTGAGCTCTCACTTTCCCTCCATGTGGGCACTCCAGCAGGCTAGCTTGGGTTTCTGCACTACATGGAGGTCTCAGTTTCCAAGACAGGGAGGCAGACACTTCAAGGTGACTGAGGTATAGGCTTCAGCCACTTTCTATTAGTCAAAGTCAGTCATGAGTCCAGCTCAGATTCACAGAAGTAAAGAAATTATCTTCATCTATTGATAAAAGGAACAGCAATGTCACATTGCCAAAGGGAGGTCCTCACAGATAGTAGTCATTTATTTGGGGGACAAAAACATTTAAAAATCACATCTAATTATATCTCTTTCACTTCTTAAACTACATTTTTAAGTGAAATATATATCACATGCCTGTTGAAGCATGCTATAAACCTCAGCAAAATTTCCTAAGCATTTGTGATAGGCAGAATAATGTTCTCCCCAAGGAGATCTATATCTTAATCCCAGAACCTGGGAATCGGTAGGTTAGGTGGAAAGGGGGAATGACGTGGCACAAGGAACAAAGTTTCCTGAACAAGTGACCATAAGATAAGGAGATTACCCTGAATTATCTAGGTGGGATCAATATGAATCACAAGAGTTCCGAAATGTGGAAGAAACAGCAGACATGAGATTGGAAGCAAACTCAGAGAGACGCTTTTTCACTGGCTTTGAAGATGGCACAGGGGCTACAGAC